ATCAATGACTAAGTGAACTGTTTCTTTAAAACAAGTGACCTGTGTTGTGTGATCATTTTTATGTACTGTGTACTTCTTATCCAGTTGGAAATTGCATTGTCACTGAAGTCTACACCCACTTCAGTGGCAAGGGGAATATTTTTGTCATAGTCCAAATAATGCAATTGAGGATAATTTGAGAGTTATAACTCCACTCCAAGTTATCTTATGTGTGTAATAATAAATATACTAACCACTGTCCCGTATCAATAGACCTTCATGCTTTAGTAGACTTTTTTGACCTGTGACAACAAGAAATAAATGTGTGTAAATAAAAAAATAAAAACATATAGCTGCTTCATTCTCAGGCAGCACACTGTCAAACTGTTTGGGGACACGGGAAGTCATTTTCAATGTCATTCAAAACCTTTGTTTCTCATGCTGCCAGTTAAAGTTTCCACTGAACACAAGGATATAACACAAACCAATAGTGCCCAGTTCCTAGGAATTTAAAGCTCTTTATTAAGATGATGCAGCTGCAAAACAAAGAGGTAATCCTAGCAACCACAGGTAAAGTCTGGCCATCCCACACAGCTGATAACAAAGCTCATTTGATAGCTATTTCCATATGCACACATTCATGTAACAACTACACATATATGCAGTGAAATTAGCCTCAGGATGTTTGCAGATGAGCATCATATGACATGTTACGTGATCTTTGCATTTAAGGGCATTTATGTATGCGTTAACAATTCTTGAGTGAGCGAAAAGAACATCACTCATATTTTTTTACTTTTGTTTGCCTTTTGAAAGCAAAGACGATTAGATATGTGAAGCTAAATGTGAAAATGTGTGCTTAAATTGTCACTTTTTATTCCAGTTTTGATATGCATGTTTGTAAAATCTGTGTTCAAATTGCTTTGGATTTGTGTGTGGTTTTGAGCACACATTTGTGGGAATTCAGAATTTACAGACAAATCATTGTACACAGCTATCTACCTTTTGAGACTAATTTCACTCCATGCACATCTTTAATTGTTATTTTCCTGAATCCCAGGTTTCGAGTTCAATTCTGCCCTGATGAATACATTTGCTAGTGTGAAGTTTACTGAGAATCTTCTCAGAGATGAGTACAGCCAGCTTGAATGCTTACGTCTGATTGCTGCTTTGGGAATATTTCAGTTTAGTGTGCATCATGTCTCTCACATCCTATCATCAAAATAACAGTAAGTGGTAATTCTTATCCAATTTATAACATTACTTGAAATATCCTTAAATAGTCTCCACCTTTACACATAAACACCACCTATATCAACTAAAAACTGCCCGTGTGTTTATGACTGTCATACACAGGTGAGTGTGAGCCACTTAAAATGTGGTCAAAATAACTGAGATCTATGTTTAGTACAAGTGAAACGGCATGGAGTTATGATTCAATAACATTTACAAAGAAGCACAAGGGTCTCAGGATGGCACATCTTAGCCTAGTGCTTTACTGTGAGTGATGAGACAAGCTTATTAAAACAAGAAGTAGATCATTTTGAGCCTGTATCGTCGCTGTTATTTTGGACTGCATTTCCCAGACATCCCCTGTCAAACAGACAATAAATCTGCTGGTATGAGTGCTGTTTCCAAGAAACATTCCTGTTTCTGTAGGTGGCGCTTGTGTGTTTATCCGCTCGCCTGTCTGTGAGACTCTCATGCAAACTGACTGTTCCAAATAAAGAAAATCTAAAAAGCATCACTTCCTGCTACTGTTACTGTATGGGAAATTGCACACATACGCATGCAACAGAGAGTGGAAAAAACTTTATTGTGACATTTAGTTTGAGCAAAGTGAAGGTACATCGGTGGTTCGATTGCCTCTTTATTTCTTTAAATATAATAATGCAAATACTCAGACTTATTATAATAACTGATATTGAAAAACTGATCATGAAATTAATTCTGCTATAAATAATATATTCCAGTGTTTTTTAAGTTAAACTCTATTGTAATTTTAAGACCTGGTAAGGAGTACGTTTTTTATGTCCTGTTGAATTTTAAGGGTATACTTTCGTTTTTTTTTACCAATATTTATTATTTATCTGTGTTTTTATATTATATTAAACAGCATCTTTATTTAAGTAAAGCTCTGCCAAATTGCATAAGCAGTGTGTGACTGAACTAAGTACACGCCATGATTCAATAGCTCGTAGAAGCATGTTTAGGGTCAATCTCACATCATTGTGGAGAAATTTTGGTCACTCTTAACATTTTTGTTTCAGTTCACTGAGCTTTGTTTAGTCACAGCTCTCTTAAGGCTCCACTTCAGCATTTCAGTCAGGCTGTGGTCTGGACTTTGACTGGCCCATTGCAACACCTTCATTCTTTTTGTGGTCAGTCACTCTCTTGTAGATTTGCTCGTGTGCTTGGGATCATTGACACAGTTTAAGCTAAAATTTAGCTGTCAGGCCTCACATTTGACTCTATCCAGAGGAGATCATGGTTGACTCATGGCAAAGTGCCCAGATTCTGTGGCTGCAAAACAAGCCCAAATCACAAGCTCTCCACCACCATGCTGACAGTTGGTATGAGGTGTTTGTGCATTATGGTCAAACATCTCCACTTTGGTCTTGTCTGTCCAAACGACATTGTTCCAGAGGTCTTGTGATTTGTTTATGAGCAACTCTGCAAACAAGGTACATTTGTTCAGTGTTTTTCTAATCGTGTTGTCAACTTTAACATTTAACATGGTAACTGAGTCCTGCAGAGTCCAAGATGTAGCTCTTGGGTAATTTATTTGAGATGTGCATGCTCTGACCTTGGGGTGAATTTGCTGGGACATCCACTCCTGGGAAGACTGTCTCTATCACTGTAGAATGATGGACTTTAAATTTCTGGGAAATAGCCAGATAACCGTGCCCAGAATGATGAGCAGCAGCAACTGCTTTTCTAAGATCTGTGCAGATGTCGTATCTCTTTGACATTGTGTTTACACACACCTGAATGGTGCAGACAAGCAAACTGCTAAAACTTCTGCTCAAAATAATCAAGTGGATTTGATTATCGGTATCAGGCATCTAATTATTTTTAATATCTTTTTGTTATGCCAACTAACGGTGTTCGGTGCTTTCCAGAAAAGAATGTGTTGGAGTGCATCACGAAGTATGACATATCTGCGCGGCATGGCAGTCTTTCTGTGCTGGCAAAATTTAAGCTCTTGC